AATGTGGCCCAAGATAGGAATAATCAAGTCATTAGGACGACAAATTGTGAGCCGCCCAGAGACCCCTTCGGGGGTTAGGGCGGGATATCAAGTCTAAGATTTAAAAAAAAAAAAATTCCAGAGGAGTGGCCGAAGAGTGTTGCCCACTCAGTTTCTGCATACCAGGAAAATGACCAAGGCCGGTTTGAGAAAGGTGGCAGTCTCCTGGCTAGCCTATCTGTAGGATTGCCAGCGTTGGGTTGGGGGATACCTGGAGATTTTGGGGGGTAGGCGGAGCCCTGGGGAGGGTGGGGTTTGGGAAGGGGAGGGGCCTCAGCGGGGTATAATGCCACAGAGCCCACCCTCCAAAGCAGCCCTTTTATCCAAGGGAGCTGGTCTTCGTTGTCTGGAGATTGATTGTAATAGAGGGAGAGCTCCAGTTGCCACCTGGAGGTTGACAGCTGTGTTTACTCATGAACTGGGGCCATGCGGTTTGGCCAGTTTGGTGCAGTGGTGAGGAGCACGGACTCTCATCTGGGAGAACTGGGTTTGACTCCCCACTCCTTTGTCACATGCAGCTGCTGGTGTGACAGTCACAAGTTCTCTCAGAGCTGTCCTCTCAAGGGCAGTCCTCGAAAGAGCTCTCTCAGCCCCACCGACGGCACAGGCTGTGTTCCCTCTAAGCTGAGTGAGTGTGAACTAGCTCACAGTTTATTAGCCTCCGGCTCACACATTTTTGTCTCGGCTCAGGAAGGAGGGCTCCAGAAGCAAACTGATTCGTGCAGTAGCCAAACCGTTCGCTCACAACTTTAATGCCAGTAGCTTATAAAGTGGAATTTTTGCTCGGGAGACTCCACAGCTTGGAGGGAGCATTGCTCCCAGGGTGTCTGTTGTGGGGAGGGGAAGGGAAAGGAGATTTTAAGCTGCTCTGAGACTCCTTCGGGTAGTGAAGGACGGGGTATAAATCCAATCTCCTCTTCTTCAGTTTGGTGTAGTGGTTAAGTGCGCGGAGAACCGGGTTTGATTCCCCACTCCTCCACTTGCACCTGCTGGTGTGACCTTGGGTCAGTCACAAGCTCTGGCACAGCTGTCCTTGAGAAAGAGCTGTTTGTGTCAGAGTTCTCTCAGCCCCACCCACCTCACAGGGTGTCTGTTGTGGGGAGGGGAAGGGAAAGGAGTTTGTAAGCCGCTCTGAGACTCCAAGTGAAGGGCGGGGTATAAATCCAATCTCTTCTCTTCTTCTTCTCCTCCCAAAAGCAGAGGTCTGGTTTGGATCAGGCCACCGCTGTAGCCGAAGGGAGGCTTGACTGTTCCAATAGGGAGGAAAGGGGTGCCTCGTTTTCCATGTGGTGAAAAGTTTTCCTTGCCCCTGCTCAGACAGAGCAATGCCACTCTTCTCCTCCTTCTCCTCCTCCTCCTCCCCCCCTCCCCCTCCCAAAAGCAGTTGTGCAGAGGTCTGGTTTGGATCGGGCCACCGCTATAGCAGAAGGGAGGCTTGACCATTCCAATAGGGAGGAAAGGGGGGGCCTCGTTTTCCAAGCGGTGAAAAGTTTTCCTCGCCTCTGCTCAGGCAGAGCAATGCTGGACAGCTTTTTTCTTTTGGTTCCAGGAGAAGTTGCTCAGCCAGGGCTTTGGGACCGACTTGCCATCCGTCAACAACCAGGTGGAGGAGCACAACATCTTCCACAACGAGGTGATGGCGATCGGACCGCACATCAGCAAGGAGGGAGCCAAGGTATTGTGTTTGTGTTTTCTGTCTTGGACGAGGGTCCCCGGCCTTTTTGAGCCTGCAGGGGCCTTTGGGATTTTGCCACAACACGGTGGGCGCGGCACAAAATGGCCGCTCCGGGAGGCGGAGCCAGCCACAAAATGGCCACCACTGCTTGTCTTCAGTCACCCAGTGAAGTTCCTTGTGCTGCGGATGGCAGCTGCCGCCAAAGCAAAGTGATTTAAAGCCTGCACAGCTGATCAAGTCTCCAGTGGCCAATCAGAAGCCTTGCCGGGCAGAAGCCCCGCCTGGCCCCACCCATTTCCTAGAAACAGCCGGCAGGAGGAAAGCTGTCCCATGATGCAAATGGGCACCACGTTGGGGGACCCTTGGTCTGGGATGAGGAGTGAACGGATCCAATTGGTTCCTGC